GGCCTGGAAAACTCCTGCAGAGCCACATCTGATTAGCTTGGAGGAGTCGCTTCTAATTTCTTCCTGCTTTTTTGACCATTTCGCCAAACCCCATCATACTCTCCCCCAGAAAGTTAGCTCATTCTGATTTTTTTAAAGCGTGAGGCAAGGCCCTGGGATGGAATGGAGGCTCACCGCCCGATGTCCTTCAGAGGCAGGGGCAGGGGACCAGTGCTGCTGGTACGAGGAGCCGGGTCCCTGGGGAGCTGGGACCCGTGTGGCTGCAGCTGCAAAGCACCCCCGGAACTATGGCTGCTCATCATTTCAGGCTCCCGCAGAGCAAGCGCGGACCCCCTGGCCATCGGGGTGAAGGGTGTCCACGTGCACATGAGGTACGAAGAGGAGACGGGCGACAATGACATCTCGCTGCTGGAGCTGGGGCGGCCCATCCAGTGCCCAGACGCCGGGCTCCCCATCTGTGTGCCTGAGAAGGACTTTGCAGAGCACGTGCTCATCCCAGGGACAGGCGGCCTCCTCAGTGGCTGGACACTCCACGGCCCCGAGCTGGGCGACGTGACCACACAGCTGCCGGTAACACTCATGGACAGCGAGGAGTGTGGCCGAGCCCTCAATGCGACGGTCACAACAAGGATGTACTGCGACAGGGGTGTGGCGGGGGGCAGCCTGCAGTGGGCAGGGGGCAGCACAGTCGCCAGAGAGCACGCGGGCACCTGGTTCCTGACAGGCATCCTGGGCGCGGTGCCCAGGGAGGAGCACGCAGGGGCCTTCCTTCTCACCAAGGTTGCAAGATACTCCCTCTGGTTTAGACAAGTCATGAGTAATCGAGCCCAGCCGGCAGAATAAACACATGGAGGAATTCCAAGTTAGCTGCCACCACAGGCAGGAACTGAGATTTCACAGCCAACACGGGACAGCGTCAGAGCACCGCACGGGCCCTGGCAACACCATGCTGCCAGGGACCACCGCGGCACCCCCGCAGTGCCCGCGCGGCTCTCCTTGGGATCTCTTACCTGAGCTGATGCCTCAAGAGAAGGGAGAGACAGTCAGTAATAAACATGCATTGTTGTCACAAGACAGCCCCATTCCTAAAACTGCCCCCTTTTCTAGCCTAACACTTTCTGTTACTAATCTGTCAATGACCGTGGCTGACATCAAACACAAGGAACCAAGTGTCTCTGGGACGGGAACCCCTGAGAATTGCCAGTGACAGACAGTGTGATGTCAGTCACACTGGGTCGACCCCAGGATGAGGGAAAGAGCTGCTCGGGTTGCAGGACACATCCAGAACAGGGCCGGCCAGTGCCCTACAGAGAGCTTGCGGGAAAGGGCTGGGAAGCTCAGGAGGTTGGGAGAAGACAGGAAACGTGGGCGTTATGCGGGGCTGTGCGCCAGGGATGCACTTCCAACGTGGGAAGCCTCTGGGCAGGTTGCGGGGAGTCCTGGGTCGGCGTGCTGAGTCTCTCAGTCTCACAGGGCCAGGCAGGCATGGCAGGCTAATAGCAGCACCTACCCAAGAGCCCACTAGGCAGCCGGAGCGGTGCTGAAGCCCGGGGCGAGCGTTGTGCACCCTGAGGGCTCTGCAGCTGGACACCTGCACGGCGTCCCTGGGCCAGAATTCCATGTGAGGTCTGCACCTGTGCCGGAATGGAATGTGAGAGCCAGTGGCCAGAGGCATTTCTGTTCGTCTCCTCTAAGTCTTGCTGAAGTTGGGGAAGTACACCTGCTCCTCGACTAAGTGCAAGGAGGGCCCCGCCCAGGGCTCTGAGTAGAAGGAACGCTTCACAGGGGCCACCTTGGCCCAGCGGACACGGGGGAGGGCAGTTCTAATTTTGACTATGAGGTCACATTCTCAGGCTGTACCCGGTGGCCTGGCTGGCCTGCGGAGCCTTGCTACACACGACGTGGATGAGAAGAGAGGATCTTTTTTAAGGGATTAAAAATAAGTGGACTTTAATCTTCTTCTTAATGAAAAACGGAGTTTAAACAATTCAGATTTTTAAGTCTTAAAATTCTTCAACACACCAAGGAATTCTCGTTTCTGGTACTACCCTTTAACCCCAGGATCACAATTATTTTTGGCCGATCTGCAGATGCTCTGGCCCCTCTCTCTGAGGGGACCTTGGTGACACCAGATAGGCCGACCTTGCACACTGGGGGCCATGGGGGAGCAAGCCTGTTTTCAGGTTTCAGCAGTGTTGTCACATCACCTTCAACAAGGCCACTGTTTGAACACCCACTGACCAGCAGGCGAGCATTAATGATTCAAGTTAATAATGGAGGAACACCTGTAATCTCATTTATGGTGTTAATTTGCATGACAAACCTTGGGCCGTTCCACTAGGGAGAAAGCAGACTTGTAAATTATTACAAGCACAGCATAGGCAGAGGTGAAACTTCACATGGTGTTAATAGCTTTATAAAAACAAGGAGCATCAGAGGAAGTAATGGGCCTGAAGTGTGAGGAGATAGGACTGTTCAAAGCGAGAACCGCTGTTCACATAAAACTCTGTAAGGTGGCTAGAAACCTTCTGAGACAGCACGTCAAACAGACCAAGAGGGGACGCCAATCGAACGGCATTTCAGAAGGCTGAACAACTCCCACCCAGGCAGTCAGACGTCTGCTTGCCTATCAGTGCATACCTCCATGAGGATGGCGTGTCCGAGCCTGTGACCAGGAACTGGGCCACTTGCACACGGCATTTACACCCAGGGCCGGGTCCTTCGCGGCCAAGGGTCCCCGTGTTCCCACCTTCAGTGTCGCAGCGTGCCGCCCACAGGTGCCTGACAGTGCTGACAGGCCCAGCTTCCCACGGCCTCGAAGCCCAGGCTGAATCCAGGCAGCTTATGGGAATTCCGGCATCCACTCTGCTAGGAGGGCATCACTCGTAGTAGCCGATGCTTCTGGCCCTGCTGAGCAGAACGTGAGACTTCCCAGCGCTGGGCTGAGAGCAGTGCCCCAGGAAACAGGAAGGCAGTCGTCCAGGCCCTGGGGGGACCGCCAGTGTGTGGTCAGTCTGCCTACCCAGCAGCCCTGCTTTCTGCTCAGGGAACTGGGTAAGGAGACAAAAACCTCCTCCAGTGGGGGAGGCAGCCCTAGGGGGCAAGAACCTGCTGAAACCCACAGGTGAAACCTGTGAAACCACCTCTTCCACACTTGACACCCAGAAGCGACACTGTGGCTTAAAGGGCATGCAGGGCAGCCAGTTCCACCTGGTTCTCTGGGCAATGGGCGTACTTGCTCCCCCCGCGCTCTGGTGGGGGACTTGGCTCTGTGCCACGAGGAAGCCTGAGCTGCCATGAGGGAAAATGGGAGGCTGCCTACGGCCCTGCTGAACATGAAGGAGAGCCCAGCCCCAGCACACCTTCAGAGGGGGTCACCCGGCTGCCGGGGGAGCCCCCAGTGGTCACCACATGGAGCAGAAGCTCAAACTTCCACTGCGCCCTCATCAAACTGCAGACTTATGAGCAAACCAAGCTGTGCTGCTGTTCCATGCCATGCCCTGGGGAGCCTGTTGGCCAGTGGGAGGAAGTCTGGGGCTGTGGCCTGTAGAGTAAGGGAATCCACACCTTCTAGAATAGCTGCTCTTTGCACAAGGGGACAAGCAGCTTTCACACTTGGTCATGCTGCAAAGGTGGCTCTAAAATAGTTACAAGTTTTCTTTGTGAGTTCAGCATGAACAGGAAATGCACATACTCTGAAAAATGGCAAGTTAGATTCAGCTTGTAAAAAGAAGCCTGAAGTTAACCAAGCATTTTGATCACACAAAATGTTTGAGTTTAACATTAATGATAGATGTGTCTCAGAAGATAAGATAAAGAATATGCCACTTGTGTAAATTCAGGATGCCTTTTTTATAGAAAGAGGTATGTAAAAAGTTACAAAGATGCTCCAGGAGGGGTGAAGTAGGCCTGCTGTGCGGGCGAAGCACCTGTGCCCCAGAGCCGCACCTATGCACCAGAGCCAACACAGGAACCTCACTTCCTGAGAAAGAAATTCCAGGTCTCTGTAGGGTTGACATTAGTGACAGGTGATGATGGAGACTTCAGGGTGTCCGTGCACTGACTAACCCAGTCTCAGCACCCCTGGAAGGCTCTCTGAGACCCCAGCTGCGGAGAGTAGCGAACTGGCGTAGAACTGACTTCATCATCAGGATCCGAACTAGCAGACACAGCACTTGCCCATCCTCAGGGCTGTCTAAGACACTCAGCACACCGTAGACAGCGGAGGGAATGGGTTTTGCTTGCTGACAACTAGCTTTTGATGCTGGTGTGATATGTAGCCTTTAATGTGACCCTGTAAGAGAGAAGAGAGGGTTGGGTTGTGTTTCTGAGTCTGAGACATTAAAAATGGTGAGTGGATTAACACTTAGCCCTGTGGAATGTGCATCCTTCCCCAGAGCAAAACTCGGTTCACTGGGAGGGCAGCAAATGAATACACACCTGGTGGAGGGTAGAGAATACCTATCTGCCCACTACACCCCTTATAAGCCCTTTGAATGTCAAGGTATTTCCTGGGATAAAATCAGCTCTACCATAAAATGCCTTCATAAAAGCAGATGGCTTGCTAAGCTCAGTGCTACCACGTCCAAGGGTCAAACTGTAGGCGAGCCCCACTGGGAGGAGCTGCGCACACACCATGTAGATCAGGTTGGCAAGAATGCACTGCACTTCGTCGATGTCCACGTCTTCCACTTGCATGAATTTCAAGGCGACCAGGAACGCATCCAGGGACAGCTGGTGTGTCCTGAGCAACAGGCACCTGGGAGAGGGAAGCAGGCCCACACTGCTTACCTACCGCATGTGGGCACCTGGGACGTTAACAAGTGGCGTGCTGGGTCCCTGGAAAGACATCTTCTAATAAACCACTGTTAGGAGGAATGAGAACATTTCCCACCTATTAAATATACTCTAAAAATAAGAGCTGTGGGGTACAATTCCGACTTTTCAGTTTAAAAAAGCCACGAGCATAAATACAAGTTTTTTATATCTACTGTTTAAAATGTATGCGTTTTCACATGCTGAGGCCTCTGACATCAGGGTGCACGTTACAATGCAGTGTCCTATAGAGTCCATGAAACGTGGTCCTTAACAGTTTTTGATGTACTGCCCACAGCTACGGGGCAGCTTTCCTTGGGACCAGGCCTCAGAGAAGAGTCAGCTTCCAGCAACACATGGGAGGAAAGGCACAGGTGCCTAAGAATTCAGCTTTCTAAGGAACGGGCGTGGTGGAGGTTTAGCTGTGAGCACAGAAGGGCAAGCAGTCTCGGGGCTGCGGAAAGCTGTGGGCGCCTGCCTCACAGGTCGAGCGTCTGCAGCACCCAGCACGTGCCCCACACAAAGCCAGCCACCTGCCAAGGGCAGACAGCGCCCCTGCCCACTCATCTGTGCAGTGCTGGGGTGTGCGTGGCCAGGCGTGTGGGGGTCTGATCTTACCCTACACGGTAAAGGAGAGTGAGGGGCCTCGTTCACACACGTGACATCCCATCTCAGGAGAAATAGCACCCGCTGCCCTAAGTTTTCACGCCCTGAGTCTCACTAAGATGCCACACTTAATAAGAAACACTTTGCTTACACTTTCTTGAAAAGATTCCTGTAGGTAATGATCTTCAGCTTCTCAAGTATAAGGAAAATACCGCAGCGAATGAAAAAGGTCTCGTGCTTCGCCAGAGCCTCATTCAGGAGGAGGAGGTTGCCTTCGCTGGGTGGGGAGAGATGTACAAGCGTGGTCACAAAACAGTCTCAGGACAAGAGACACCAAATGCAATTTGCTCTCACGCGTGTATAAAATTCCTTTTTTCTATTTGGAAAGACCCCAGATGGAAAAGGAGGAAACAGGCTACCTGACGGCTTTGGTTACTTCTGCAAACTGCATGAGATGATACTTTTTCAGAAGCTCAATGGTTGGCATATGACCCTAAGACAAAGAGTTAATTTTTCAGAATAAGATCCTTTCATTTTCAACAGAATTGTCATTGACAAAATCCTTATCAAGGAATTAAATTTTGAAAATCTGCAACCTGTGTTTCTTAGAATTTCTTTTTAAGTAGCTGATGAGGACTGAAACATGACAGTATATTAGAAAAAACAAACACTGGTCTAGAATCAGAAGCCCAGGTACAGTATGTGTGGTCATTCAGTGACACGTGACCTTGACTGACCTTCTCATGTCTCTTATTCCCTCACGTCATGACAGGGGAGTGATAACTGAGAAAATACTAGGGTGAGATTTAGGAGCACAGAAATCTCTCCCAGAAGAGTCAGCTAAAAAGTTAAGACTGAAGCAGGGTTGGAGGTGGGGAGGGGTGGGTATGTCTTCATCGCTTTTCCATTACCAGCTGTATCCTGAGTGATCCACCTTTTAACCACACATGTGCACAGCTTTGGTAATTTCTTAAATTTTTAAATGAGAGGAAAGGAAGCTCTACCTACCACTTGGAGGGTGTTTTAGTTGATTAATTGCTAGTTACTTACCATTTCTTTTCCAGTATCACAAATACCTTTTGCTGACCAAATAGGATACCTACAGACTGGCTGAAATGACATTTTTCTTTCTTCATCAGTTCATTTCTACTAATTTAGAATTCCAGGGGGAGGAGTCCCATGCACTCACTTCCTTTGTCTCACGTGTTAAACTCTTGAGGTGGATACTCTTAAGATGGGGGTCTGCTTACGTATAGCCCAGATTGTGATCAACTATACCCCATCTGCTGCATTTGAAAGTCTATCAACTTCCTGAAAGCAGCACGATCTATAAGAACTAAGTAAAGTCACTCACCAACAGCATTTTCACTGGAAGTAGATATATCAGGATCATCCTTTTGTTCTTCTGGCTTGAACGGTGACAGTGCTCGAAGGCAAAGGACAGGTATTCCTCGGCTGTGGGGGTGCCGGCGCCCGGTAGGTCAGACCAGCCCATGAGCAGGCTTTGCCCCCTCCACTCCACACGGTTCCCTCCCTGCCCAAGTCCACCATTTATCCTCACAGGAAGGGACCTAATGGTTTCGGAAACCTAACATCAACTGGCAATATTAATAAATCATTTCTTGCTGTGATAAAAGACTCCTCAGAGAAAAACATACCAGTACCACAACAGACTTCAATGGAACGTAACTTACAAGCTTCTACTCTTCATAGTTTAAGGGAAAAAATGATGGGGGAACAACCAAGGAAAACCCTTCTTTAAAAGCTAAGATCTGCCTAAATTTTGGAAAGAAAATGAACAGTCGGTCTCTATAATCGTGCCGAGTAAACCAGAGCCACCATCACAGAGGGCTGTTGTTTTTATTCCTACGGAATCCACGGTCATGCCACGTGGAGAGCAGAGAGACTGTGAATGTGCACGTCTGACGTCACATTGCTCCACGTGCAAATGCTGCTGCTGAAGTGAGTCTAGAAAGTTCGGTCTGAGTACGACAGAAGCGATCGTCAGGAGCAACCTCACGCCAGCTTATCAAGCAGTTCAAGGGGAAAAACACTGGCTTCATGTTCTTGAGAAAGTTGGTGACATAAACTAACACTGTGACTTCACGAAAACGCCTTTCTGATGTGGCGATGAGGCCATCGTCCGTGGCACAAACACCAACGATGACAGCAGTCCAAGGACACACTGCCACTGTACGCGGGCATCTGTGGACTTTGGAGCAGGAAGTCGGCAGCCAAGCGCTGCCTGATCTCCATGTCCTGTGCCACGTGAGCGGCTGAGGCAAAGGCAGGAAGCCATTTCTTACATACGAAGAGCAGCGGTGCTCAATTACCTCCCACCAAAAAGACACCCACAGTGACTGAGGCTCTGTCATGGACTTCAGAGGCCCAATATGGGCTAAGAAACTTCAAATAGGGTCTTCTTGTATTTAACCAACGTTAGTGCCAAAATTAAAAAAAGAAATGTAACTTGGGCTTGGTTTATGCCTATATTCCACCCTAAGTAATAATAAAATACAATAACTGTTCTCTGAAACTGTATCACATAAGCTGTTCATAATGCGGTGTCTTTAAAACCCAGGAAAAAGATGGGCAACGCACCTTGCTTAAAGTCGCTATCGAACATGGCCTTCCGCCCGACGTAGTACCTGTACGTCACCCTCTGCGCCGTGCTGTAGTCGTCTTTCAGGTTTGAGCTATCAATGGCTCTGATCAGGGGTTTACACAAATGAAGTTTGTTGATCTATAATGAAAAACAATCCATTTCAATTAAAAAAACAGGCAGGATGAACGAACTTCTACTTTCCTTAGTACGGGCCTTCTTTGGTGGGAGTCTCAAAATCTGGTATGTCATCAAACCTGGCCGCTCAGTGACAGCAGCGAGCACAGCCTCAGGGGGTCCCCAGGTGGGGCCAGGCCCCAGCAGCTGGCACAGGACAGCCACTTGCATCTGGCTGACCTCACGTGGCCAAGGATGGCTTCCTGCCGGCCACACACCCAGCTGTTCTGGGGGGATCACAACAGTGGGCACAAGGTGCTGGGGCAAACGCCCTCAGCCTGGCCCCAGCACACCAGGCATGCTGCTCGGTGTCCCCAGCCCTGCCGCCCTGGGGTTTAAATAAGATGACACATGCCGAGCATTGACAGTCACACCCTCACTTAGCAGGCACTCCACATTAGCTCTTAGAATTATGAATATGGCTGGCCGGCTACCGTCTCCCAGGCGATGCCAGGGAGGCTAGCTACTAATTAATAGAAATGATATCTGGGAAGACAAGGAGAAAGAAAACTTAGGCAGATAATGTTGTAAAATGCAAACAGAAGTGTACCTTAAAGTAAATCTTGAAAAGCTGATTTACCAGGAACAGCATCCCCCACTTCTTAGAGTCCTCTATACCAGCACGACTGTGGGAGAATAAATTACACAGAAAACAGAAAATTTCATTTATAAATCATGAAGTAAGCTGCCTAAACAAATCAGTGTCCTGGAATAAAATCCCACAGGCTCCGGTCATACTCATGATAAAATAACGGCATGATAGATGTCTTACCTAAAAGGCAAAACTGAAGAGACCAAACCAGAACCGGACGCGTTTTTCTATTCGAGCAACATACTCCCCCTCCCGCCCCCACCGCCGCGGCAGCTCAGAACCGCTCAGTTTGCAGTGTGTGTGAAAGCTAGTCGTCATAGAGCATCTGTGAGAACTGGAAGAAGAGTTCTCTTAGCATTACAACAAAATGAACCGAAATAGGCCAACAATGTGGATAAATCTCCAAGAGAGCAGCAGACGGCCCATGAAGCGACCCAACAGGCAGAGCAAACCCCAGCGGAAAGACAAGAGCCAGCGAGGGGCTGCCGGGAGGGGAGTCACATCCCGCTGCTCTGCACAGGTTGGGCCATGAGGCCTGCAGACTCGTCAGAGCTTGGCCAATACACAGGCAAGGTCTGTGCGGCTCACTGTATGTAAATTTTGACTCAAAATACAAAAGAGAAACTGCTGTATTTAGGGGAAACTATACTCATGTACGCAGTTAACTCTGAAATGCATCAAAATGAGCGAGGAAAGAAGACCCTGGAGGAGAGACCCTGCGTGCCGGGACAGCGGCCAAACGATGATGTTCATCAGGCCGCGGGATCTGAGGGCGGCACGATGTGCCGAAGAGAGAAAACGGCCACTCTAGAACCCTCCCTCCAGCAGAAGGAGGCTTCAGTAGTGAACAGAAAATAAAGACAGTTCAGAAAACGAAAGCTCACAGGGTTCCCTGCCGGCAGACCTGTACTGGAAGCACGAGGCTGAAGCAAGCTGCTCAGAGTGGTCAGCAGTACTGGGTGGCTCAGAGCCACCGGGGGTGGGCGGCCTGCAGGTAACCAGAGTGCTTGTTTCCTTTACAGAACAACTGACCACTTAGAGCAGAGGACAGTGAGCGAGGGGCTACGTCTGTGCAGGAGCAGAGGCCGCCCCCCAACACACTCACGTGTCGCTGGCGCAGACGCGGAAACAGCCCATCAGCACTTCGGCTGCTTTCTCCAACATGTCTCCCGCCTTGCTTCTCCCTTTCTTTACCAACTGCTGGTCTGCCTGATGGGACATGTTAACATTCACTTTGCATTTTCTCCAGATCTCTTAATGACAAAGTCACAGAACAGCTATGAACAAAAGTGGCTGTAGCTACAGGTCAAAGTCCTGAGGGTTCTGGTGAATTCCAGTCCACAGTCCTGACATGCTCCCTAACACGGGCTCTCAAAGAACGGTCTAGGATCCCCGGGGAGCCTCCAGCACACCTGCAGATAACCCATGTGAGCCGAAGTGTTCACAGTGACACCAAACCACTTGTCTTCTTGCTGTGTTGACATTTGCTTTGAGGTGCAAAAGCAGCGGTGGGTGACACTGGAGCCCTCCGAGGCCCCAGACTGACCCAGGGGTCCCTGTACCCCAACACCACAGGTGCAAGTCCCCAGCTGACCAGCCAGTCAAGCTAATGTCACTTTAAAACGTCCTTGATGACACAGTGTTGACTTTCCCAAGCCCTGGTCCTTGAAGAAACTGAAAAAATGACTGTTACTCTGTGATGACATGGGAAGTATGTATAAGCGTGTCTGCTGTACGGCGGCTGTTTGAGGAAAAGCCCTGGGGCAGCTGCCCGAGCTACAAGTTGTGACGTGGAACCAACCGACACACACAGGGTGCTCTGGGTCCAGGGTCTGAAGGGCCACTTGCTCAATAGAATAGAACAAGCCTGTCATTTCCAGGCAAAGAACTGACAACACATTTGTTACCAAAGACAACATTTGCGCTTTCAAGAAAAAAATCAGAATTCTGAAAAACTTGAATCAATCACCATGAGCTTGGCAACTTTCCATTACTTTAAGACATTTTTGGCTGAGGTCACTGGCGACATTAACAAATGTAGTTTTTCTGCTTTTGGTTATTTTTATACAACGACTGATGTCCACATTTGGGACATCTGTGTAACTCAGTGAACCAGAATTTCCAAATGATCAATATGGGACATATAAAATGCATTCAAAGTGCATGACACACCATGGATTTGACCTAACAGTAGAAAAAGTTCACTGACTCTTCAAGGGCCACAATGTAACTAATTTTTAAAAACCACCTCTTGGAGTTTGGGCATAGCTCAAAGGAGAGTATCTATAATTATCTGAAAAGGCTATGAAAATACTCCTCCCCTTTCCCATGTCAGTGTGGGGCCAGACCGTCTTCCCACAGTCAACCAAGACAAGACCGAGGCAGAGTGAATATAGCAGATACGAGAATCTGGTGGCTTCTTTTAAGTCACACATTAAGGAGATCAACATGCAAAACACCACCCTTCTAGGTACATTTTCTTCATTTTGAAAATATAGTTATTTTTTATTTATAAAGCTAATTATGTCCCCATGTAAAAGGTTTATTGTTATTTTAGGTGAATCAACATTAAGAATTTTCCTAAACTTTTAATACAGTAAATGTATATGTGTACAAACAAAAGCTCTTGGGACCCTCAACAATGTTTATTTGGTATTGTACTTTTCAGCTCTAAATTTCCATTTACTTCTCCTTTGTATCTCCTATGTCTTTGCTGAGGCTGCGTTCCTGTGCTTCAGACCTGCTCACGGCAGCCCCGAGGCTTTGTGACAGCTGGTGTAAAGCCCTCACCAGGGAATCAGCACTGCCTGCCTCAGCTTGCTATTAGCTGTTTCTCATTGTTCAACATCTCAGAAGGCTGAGACTGGGCTGAGTGTCTGGTAAGTAGCTTTGGGCTTCGTCCTGGACATCGGGGGATCATTGGAGACTGAGGGCCTTGTCCACCCCGGGGCAGAAGGCCTCCCACTGACATCACGCAGGTGGGGAAACAGGCTCCACCTCTCCGCTGCAGGTTGGGGTGGGTCCAGCCCCTTGTGGGCCTTGCAGACAGGGGTGGGGACCTGCAGATTTTGGGTGTAGTGCAGCAGCAACTGTCTGAGGTCTGTCCTGCTGAGCCGCCTTCCCCACTCGCGCTCTCCCTCTGGGGCTTCTTCCTTTCTCCCTGCTGGTGTTCTAGGTTTCAGATTTCTCAAGGATGCGGGAGTCCCAGCCCCTTCTCTCTACCTTCCCAAGCCGTGCTGGCTTTAAAATTCCCAGCAGAAGGGATAGGAAATATGTGCCTACTCCTCCTTGTCCAGAATCATAAGTCATCAATAATTTTTAAAACTGAAAATGGTGTTAGGACCAACAAGTTTTGAGAACTGTTGCTCCAAAACTGGCTTATGCTGACCCCCAAGGAGAAACCAATTCTATAAAATTCAGGATCTCTACCCTCTGACACCAGAGAACCCCTTAGCTACTGCGAGAATCTGTATTAAGTGGAATTCTTCCAGACTTCATCCCTTAACTCTTGTATAATTCTCTGCAAGTGGAATTCTTTAAGACAGGGACAGGCCACATCACAACAACAGAAGAGAATGCAGAATCGACCCACCCAATGAAAAAAAAATGCATGCCACGAATGATCAACCATATACAGAAACAACTCCCTATCTGTCTGAGCATGAAAACCCAATGTTTGTCTAAATATGTTCACATCAATCCAGAAAGAACAGTTAGTCAAGGCACTTCTACTCTTCGCGTCCTACCCTGGGGCACCCAACCCCTCATTCCCTAAACCTTTGGAAAGGATGCTGTGAAATCAAGCCACAGACAGACCTGAGTGTGGGTTTGAAAACGAGGGTGGTAGAAACTGAACTTACATTATTGGCAAACACCCGAAGGTCCAGCGCCACAGCATACATGACAGGCAGAGCCCTACAGGGCAAAAGAGCAAGTACGTCCGGTGGGGTCAGAGGACCCGCCACCAGAGGCGGGAGCAACGTCGATTCCCAGGGCTGCTGTCCAGGGGGGGTCGCCGCCCCGCCCAGAGTCTGAGGCTGCCGGCGCCTCCTTCACCTTCCTCCAGGGCAGGCTGCGGCCCGGGCTCCTCGGAGGCCTGGACCCTGGCCCATCTGGGGGCCTCGGCCTGGGAGCAGCTCTCCCACAGTCCCGGCTCCTTCCTGTCAACCCCAACACTGTTCTAACAGCTCCATTCAACAAGACGTGGTTGGGCAAGATTCCCTAACGAGACCCAGAGTATGTAACAGACATGTCATAAAACAATTAAAAAAAAATCTAGCTGGCAGAACTGGTTTTATGGGCAAGATAAGTCTTCACCTCAAAAGGGGATTTTTGTTTTTGTTTTTTTAGTAAAAGGTATTTGCAAGCCTTCAGTTATTTTAGAATAAACAAAATTTCAGTACTTGTGTACAATTTAATATGCCATAAAATTAAGAATTAGATTTGTCAAGGAATTTTAAGTAACCCAATTACTATGTATTATATCACCCATATGAACAGTAGTGATTACCTCTTCTGTCCAAGTTTAAAACCAACAGTAGTTCAAACTGGACAACTGAAGGAGAAAATAGTACTTAATAATTATTTGGGGCATGGAAGAGCTGAAATAAAAATAATACTTCAAATTTTTATAAACACACTGCAAATGATCTGGCTGATCTGCCACTTAGGTTCATACCAACAAACTCCATTTCCTTGTTGATATTATGCGTCAACACATGACATTCAATATCCACATAGAAAACAAACTACCTATTTACTTAGAATAAATGTTTTTAAAGCTTCTGCTAAAGAAAAAAAAATGCCATTTGCTAATTACCATCTGTTACTGTTCCTACTCACCAGTTTTCTTCTTTGTGGGCCTGAAATGCCCGCAGAAATGATGTACTAGATTAAGGAAGGTATGACATAAGAAATTCAAGTCACGCTACAAATGGTGAGAATAAGTAGTATGAAGGGGTCCAAATGTTAAGGGGCTTGCCCATCATCCAGAAGACTATGACTCAAAACAGTAAGTTCTAGAAAAAACATATAAGCCCACATTATAATTATCTGAGTATCACTAACTTAAGTATAGTAAATACATTTATTTCATACATTTTCAAAAGAAAAAGACTACTATAAGACTTTCTTAATTGGCATTTTCAAACATTTTATGGGCACCTCTGAGGCCAGGTGATCACAAGTTATATGTAATGTGCTTTAGAATCTGTACTATAGGCTTATTTCAATAATTATAGAATTCCTGAATTCAAAGGAGACTTAGTTAATTAATAACCATCTCTCCTCTCTGTATATTTAAACAAGCTGATTTTAAAAATAAGCAAACTCGAGCCTAGAGATACACAGACAGACTAAAACACTCTCTGACTAGGTCTTAGCTATGAGATGTTGCTTAAATGATTTAAATCAGACGTAGGCCTGGTCAGAGTCTCTAGTGAACACAACTAAGGGACCTGCGTGTTGTGTCCACTCTTGTCCATCTATGGTTTGCAGCTCTGATATTTCACCAAGCAGACTAACCAGTTCCTATAACTATCCTCAGTGCTTTAATGGCAACAAGACATTGTTCATAATAAAATTAAATAAATCCTTAAACATAAGCAATGCTCTTCCTTACTACATAAGTAACTGGATGACAGTCTTAAGGTCCAGGCTAAATTTAAGTATCTGAGTGAAACAGCTAAATCAGTTTCCAAAGGCTTTTATTTCCTAATTAAAGGTATAAATAAAACTGGCCTAGTATTTCAAGATTTTAGGCCCCAAACAACCCTCTCTGTTGTAAAGTGAACTTTAACACAAACAAAAGATATTGGACGATGACAGTCTGGCATTTGTATGCCTCTATGAAGTCATGGTTCCCCACTGCGTAAGTGCACCTGGGAAAGAAACGACGGAGACTGAGGATGGAGGCAGCAAAGAGGCATCTCTGGGATGTGAACTGTGAAGGCCACACATCTTACTCCCACCACACACCCCATCCCTCCAGGATCTGCGCTGAGGACTGGGGCCTCTCTGGCAGGTTACACACGGCTGAAGGAAGGCAAGAGGCACACACACTTCCTTGAACTAAGACGGTGTGTGTGAGATGAGACCCCCACACTAGTTCTGAGACTGTTCTTTGAGGCCCCGGAAGGAGATACCTGGCTGCAGCAAGTGTGATTAGCCACAGGCACTAATGACATGGGGCGGTGATTGTACGGTGCCCATGGTGGCCATGCTCATAGCAGACGTCTAGCCGGGAAGAGTCAGGATCA